CAAATTTTATAAATAACACATAATCTCATACATTATTGCCATGTCTTTCATGACCTGTTAGCACTTGGATGCTAAATCTTAGCTCAGTATCTGTAAAAATGGAGGTTAGCTATCTGTTTGTAGGCTAAGGTCAGTTAGCTGTGGCAGCCATCTTGAATTCTGAGAAAACCTGCTGTAAATAAATTACTTTCTGCAAATTTAACCAGTGGTTGAACAGAAATGTTGAGAAAGGACAATCTGAGCACACAAAGGCAAAAACATCATCACCCATTTGCTTTTGGTGGTGGATTAAGTATTTCAGATTTCTCAGTGCTCACGAGGTACAAAAGTTGCTGATCTTAGTCTTTTAAGTCTTAACTTCCATTACTGTCTGTGTGAGTGTGCCGCACCACATGGCTGCACCCAATCAATAACTCAGAGCAATCAGTAAACATTAGCTCYTGGTCTTAAGTGTTTCTCACTCCCAAGGTCTAAAACAAAAGAAAATTCTTTAAAAGGCAATAGTTACTGTCATTTAGATCATGTCCGGTTTTTTGTATATATTCGTAAACTCAAGGAATTCGGAAAAAAAACCTACAAGATGATTAGCTAACAACTATAAAACTGAGCTAACAGTTGTTTTATTTGACTCGGGCGGGTTTGTTTTATCAGCTCCGTGCCATTTTTCTTCAGGTTTGACTTTATTTCATCACCCCCCTAATCGAGGCTCAGAGTGTCTCTTTCCCCTCACCTCCACTCTCGCACTTTTAATCTCACATCTAAGAGCCCCTATTTTCCACTATCTCCCTGTCAACTAGGCTTGAGATACGCAATCAGCTGGATTGATCTTCTGTCTGTACAGGTGGGGGTTGCAGGGGGTTGATGCATCTCCAGATCAATGTCAGAGTAATTGCATCTGCAGAGAGAGATACCTTTATTGCTGAAGAAGGAGCTCATGACGGATGATTTCACTCACTTAAATGTGAGTTTTTAACCCCGAGAAACACGTCACCTTTGTAAACTTAGTATGCATATTTAAAAAAAAACCATTTATTATATTTCCCTAAAAGTGAAACCTTTGAAGTAATGCTAGGCTCAATCATTTTGTGTTTTCTAAGATGTGGCAGACATTTTGAATCAGCTGTAGATGTTAGGGGTATAAGAAAATATCGATACACTGAAATATCACGATATTTCATTTCCTGATACTGTATCGATATTCTAAAGCCCAGTATCGATTTTTTTTTACTAAGGTTTAAAATGTCAACTTTCCTGCCAGCCGTTCATTTTTATGTTGTAGTTCAGCCTCTGACCACTAGTTGGCAGCAGTGAGCCAGCCATTTAGCTCCTCTACCTCTTGAGGTAGAGGCYATTGTTAAGTGTTGGGTGACCTTATTGTAAATTAATATTAAAAACTAAAAGCTGCCAAAAATATGTTTTCAAACTGTTTATTGTCAAATTTAGTCTAATAATTGAAAACATGGATGAAATAAGAAATATGAAACAAATAAAAAATACATACAAAGCAGAACACAGCTAAATGAATCAAAAGTATGTCTACGTAATATTAGAATTTTCTGAGACAACAAATTTTGGTTTTTCAATTTTTCCCCGTGAGAGGTTTTTATTTAATAGAATTTTTGGACAAAAAATTGCAATATATCGCAATATATCGCCTTGCTTACAATATTGCAGTATATTGGGATATATCGTATCGTGACCCCTCTGTCATGAAATGTATCGTATCGCCAAATTCTTGCCAATACACAGCCCTAGTAGACGTACAGTCAATTACTACTTTTGGTAATATTTAATACAAGTTTTCAACCTAAAATTTCAACCCATTTACCAATTTCCATAAATGCATCAGCAAAACAGCCCTTCATCCTCGGATACCATCTGACCTTTTCCATTGTCATCCTCATTTTACAACCCAGTCAGCGTTAGCAAGGTCCCACTTTTGCCGTTACATAATCATCTCATTAATCATGTAAATGTTTCTGGGCTGTAAGACAGCTTGCATGAGCATGGAAGCTGATAATCCTGGCTTTGCATTTTGCTTCTTGTTTCTGCAGCATGCAAGATTTAATGATCTGCTGTTTTTTTATTTACATATATTAGTCTTCTTTCATATATCTAAAAGGGTGATGTTCTTTAAACCTGATGTCGACTCACTGCAACGCCAGCTCACTGCACACAAACTCACCGCACCAGGCTATGACAGCTCACTGCACTGTTATATCTATGATGATGACTCACTACTCCTACTATTGAGAGGAAAGACTTGCTTTTAGATGTTTCTCTGTTCCAACATCTTGCTGTGATTATCTGATAAATTCACAGGTTCACAGGTTGCAAACTTCTCAGTCTCGGGATCCTTGTTTCAAACAAACAACTTCTCTAAACGACTAAATTTATCTCTGCTCTAAAATATAGAGTTTACCTACAACTCACTCAAAATACAGCTCCTTTCCTCAGAAATGATGCCATTAGCTTTCCATGATTACATTTTTGTCCTAACGTGACTATGTAAATTTAGGAACCACATCTAACGTTTTCTGATTATGCTCATATTCAAGCTTTAAATTTTGGTCTAAATGTTTTATTTCCTACTGGAATGTCTGATATTCCGCACTGCATTGTGCAGCGCCTTCTCTCCTCCCTCGTTCAGAGTGAAACATGAGGTCAGCACGGTGCTGATCTGCCTGTCAAAACTGATTTAGAGATAGTGGTGGAACAAAGCGCTGTTCTTTCWAACCGCTGAAGGATCTTTTTCACCACTGCAGCTCAGTGAAGTAATCAGAACTACAAGTGACAGGGAGGGGCTAATGAGGGGAACAGTGTCATTCTTGGTGTGGTTCTCTGTTTCACCACCTTTTTTTAATGTCACCTCCTCTTTAACACCCTTGTTTTTATGCGTCGCCTGTCTGCTTTTCATCCAGCTGTCGCTTTCTGTGACCTTTAGCTTTCTACACGCTAAAGTGAACGTGTGCGCTGTTGTGACATTATAACTGTGGCCATGAATATGACATGCATCAACATGTTATTGATTAAAGTTTCCTTGGATGCTGTTCAAATGCAAAAAATAGACTTTCAAATATAATTTATCTTCATACAGTTTAGCTTTATCATTCTACTAACTTATCAATTCAAAGCCACAGAAAAATGCTGTTTTAGCACCAAGATGTGTAGCATTTAGTATAAAACGACAGAACAAATAAAAACCAGAAAAAGCAGAGTAAACTCTATTCTTACTATGTTCTTTGAATTACCTAATGATTTTGTGTAATATTGTTTAATTGTTCAAAAAATAATCATATCAATCCTACAAATTTTAATGACATGCACATGTTTGCTAGAGCAAATGCTTCTAAATGTGTTCACATCAAGAACGTTTACTTTTTAACATAAGGCTGTCTCAGAAAAATATATAAATGTCTGTGCTAAAAAACGTATTACAGTAAATCAATAAAGCAAACATTTATACTAAACAAGCTATGCATCATAAATGCTTAAAGATTTTTGTGGGGAAAAAAGAGCAATTTGTCATAAATGGCCAAAAAAGCTGAAATTATCATAAAGCTGCAAAAGCTGATACAAAGAAAGAAGAAAAAAGAGAAGCACCTTGGCTGTATTAAGTACTAAAAAGCTAAAATTTCAATTAAAATGTGTATTTACCTGAAAAAAGATACAATTAGCTGAAAATAGCCAAAAAGTAGCTAAAGTTGCAAAAAAACCTGCTGAAATCAGCAGAAAGTATTTGAAAGGACAGTAAGTTTACGTTAGCAGAAGAATAGCTGAAAAGAGTAGAAATATAGCTGAAAAAATGTAATTAGCAGCAAAAATATCTGAAAAAGGCTGAAATTAGCACAAAGAAGTTAAAAAAAGCTGAACTAGAAGAAAAGGTAAAACGTGAAGTAAAGATGTTTTTGAAGGACTTTCAGGATGGTGAGTAAAGCCCCATTCATCTTAAATGAAAAAAAGTGGCTGAAAAGGCTAGATATCTCAAAAAGTAAAAATTGGTAAAATACTAAAAGTTATAGCCAGAATATCCTGAAAGAGCTGAACGTTTTGACTTATAAATTATTGAAATAGCACAAAAATTGTGGAAAGATATACGAGCCAAAAAATGTACAGAACATACATGAGTAATCTCTATTACCACTTGGTACAATCTTACAATGTTAGTAGTATCAAGAACCATTTGAAATCTTTATATAGCAACAAATGATTTTAAAAAATGAAAAAGCTAAATATGTTCCCTCATTTTTTTTATTTAAAGAATATAAATAAATTATGGCCCAACTGATCCAGAAGAGGTATGAACTTTAAGCTTTCAGTTCTGTTTTAGTATAAAAATGATGTTCCAAACATTGTGCATTACACTTTTTTTGATAAAGGGAGATATAAATTAAAATKTATCACTGTAACACATGCAGAAATTTAAATATWATGCACCAGTAGTCTCAAACTRTCTGCATTGTGCCTCTGAGTAGCTKAGCAAATCGGAAACAAATTAGCYGAGGCAGCAATGCCTCTGTTTTGAACTTGGTTGCCGAATTAAACTRCATTAATAAGAACTATTAAAATGCCTGGTAATGAGGCTACAAAGCAGATCAGCATTCCTGCTAATTCTACAGTTCACATCCATGTAGTTTAAATGCAACCCTTTCTACTTCCTCAATGCTTCCTTGCTCCCTCCATAATGTCTGTGCTCATCCTGCAGGCTGCAATTCTGAATAGCAAAGTGTCTCTGATACACACTTGAATAAAGCAAGCATCATGACCCAAATACTTTATTYATTTCCCCCCCAACCCGGCTTACAAAGAAAGCCAAACACAAACAAGCTGAACTGCAACATTTAATCAAACGACGCCACGCTGATGGTCTGCTCTCACGTTCAAGGGCACCTACGCAGAATTTGTTTTGTCGAGGGACACTCCTCCGAGTGATGTCAATCATACCACAGCTACACATTTATGAAAAAAGGCTGCGCAATATCTTTAGAGCACAGTCCTGGCTGGCAATAAGGTGCATAGAGCAGGTCAGATAAAAACTAAATAAATACAAACAGTGATGAATATTCAGGCTGAGTTTGACCAGCCTGCCAGCCATCGTCAGCAGATATAGTAGAGCTGGAAGCCAGAGTCCTATTCAGAAACATCCTTAATATTCTCYGTCCGTTTCACTTTGCTCGCTGAGGCACTGCGCAGAAATGTAAATTGAGTAGATAAGATGGATTTTCAGTGTCATTTCACTTTTCTAAAGAGCTTTGTGTGTGATTTTGTTCTCCCAATGACAGCGACAGAGCCTTGCATCTTGTTGAGCCAGCCACTTATCAGAAATCAAACCCTTGAGCCATTATAGCCTATCAGTGTTGACTTTAATGGAAGTTTAGGTGAGCTCGTGCGGTGACTTTGTCCAAGACTGAAGGAAAACGAGATTAAAGTCACAATTTGATCCCTTTTCGGTCACTCAGTTGCATTTGAATTGGCAGGTGGACTGAACTAATCCTCATCGTCCTGATCCAGACAGCAAGCCTGATTTCTTAAAAGAAGTAAAACACAGAAGGATGTCTAGTTCCTAGCATAAAAACTTTTTAAACTCACATTTCAACACAAAGCAGTTACAATGTTTGTTAACGGACCCTGTCRTTCCAAAAGCTGACATTCATCCCAGCGCTCTCATTCTGGATGGACTCAAAAGACAAACAGAATTAAACTCATTGATTTTGATCGGAATGAAAAGAAATCTCAGAGTGACTTGAAAAGATAAGCACCCGTTCTGGCCCAATTGTTCAGGGAAATTTAAAGAGGTTTCATCGARTGACGGAGCTGCTGCCAGATAAGAACGGCTATATTACGTCTCCGCTTCCCACAGCCTTTCTGCAAAATTTCACAGGCAAGATTAATAGCTTGCTCAGCTTTGGGAAAGTTAGAACTGCACGTGTGGAATTCACACGAATAAAAAGCAGTTTTTACTTCTGGTTTAAAATTTTCACTCAAAAAGACAGTTCTCATATTTATAGCTTTTTATTAAATCACAGATTATCAGGTTAGCTTTTTATCCAATGAATATCTAAATGTGGCATTTTTCCTGCCTAAAAATGAATGTTTATAACTCTCAGCATTGTCTTTTGTCTTTTTCTGTTCAGCAGCTTTTAATCTAATGACCTGCTGACTCATTTTGCACCCACACGCAACAGTTTTTCTTGTTTCAGCTCTTTCAGAAAGAGTAATAAAAGAAGATTACAATTTTTGAATCACTGATACTGATGTGCTGAATACTTTTGTATGATAGTTTTAGAGAAAAGGACCAAAATCCAGACTGATGGCAAAATGTGTGTCTTTGAACCCCTACATTGAAACAGCTTTGGGAATTGTTAAAGGAAACAGAATGCAATGAATTGAAAATCTCAAAAATTCAAGAAACAGAAAAATGTAATGTATTTTTTTTACATATTCATGAGTATATATTTAAAGGAAAACGTCACTATTTCTTGTCCGTTTGTCTTTGTTTCTCTTAGATCGAAATGTTAGAGCAGAAATACGGCGGCCACCTCATCTCCCGCCGAGCCGCCTGCAAGATCCAGACCGCCTTCCGCCAGTACCAGCTCAGCAAAAACTTCGAGAAGATCCGCAACTCGCTCCTGGAGAGCCGTCTGCCTCGACGCATCTCCCTGCGCAAGGTCCGCGTCCAAAACACCGAGGGCGTCTCCGCTGAACGGGCTCTGGCAGAAGGCTGTAACCTGGCAGGCATCCCRCTGGTGCGCTCGCCATCTCTGCCCACCACAGTCGGTAGCTCCCTGACAGACCTGGAGGACTCCTTCACCGAACAGGTCCAGTCGCTCGCTAAGTCTATAGATGACGCACTGAGCAACTGGAGCCTCAAGACCATGTGCTCCCTGCAAGAAGGTGGCACGTATCAGTTCAGTGCCGACTCTTTCAATGCGGCAGCGGCGGCGGCGGGAGTTGCAGGAGGAGGTGGAGAAGGAGGTGGRGTGGGACAGTCAACAGTTCCACCAGGTCCAGTGGACCCAAGTGACCTGTCGAGAAGCGCAAGCAAGCTGATGATGGCATTCCGAGACGTGACGGTGCAGATCGACAGCCAGAACTTTAGAGTTTCTTCCTCAGTCATGGAGTCCTCTTCGGTCACGCTTGGAAGCTGCATCCAACAGGACGGAGCCGCCACCGCTGTCACAACAAACCTTTCACCGCTGTCTGTCCCACAAAAACTACCTCCTCTACCTCCAGAAGCCCCAGGCGAGCCCATACATGCCCCACCTCCACCACAAGAGCCCCCGCCACCCCCGGAACCGGAGCTCCAAGAAGTGGAGGACGTCGATTTCCCCGCCCCGCCTCCGAGTGAAGAGGAGCTGCTGGAGGTGGGTCAGCCTCCTCTGACACCTCTGGAACAAACGTCCGCCCCTGAAAGCCTAGAAGAAGCCAATCCGCCTCCTCCCCCTCCCCCGACAGAGCCCACTCATGTACCTCCACCCCAGGAGGCCTTGGCGCTGGGGAGCTCCCCCGTGGCGGAGCCTCTGGATGTGAAGCGATGCAGCTCGGAGACGGCCGACAACAGCTCGGAGCAGATGAGCAGCAGCAGCACGTCGACGGAGGCGCGCTCCACCTCTGAGGCCTCGTCTAAGGAAGCACTGCAGGCCATGATCCTCAGTCTTCCACGGTACCACTGTGAGAACCCAGCCAGCTGCAAGTCGCCCACGCTGTCTACGGACATCATGAGGAAACGCCTTTACCGGATCGGCCTCAACCTTTTCAATCTGTGAGTGGCAACGCTGTTTATATCTCCCATGTTTAAGTCCAACTCAAAGTAGCTGCACTTTATGGTACAGTTTTAGATTTAGATTACCTTACGTTGCCAAATAATAGAATTAAAGTCAATTTCATGCATGTTTGAGAAATACTTGAATCTCCTGTGGTAGCCATGTGGAGTTGCCTAAATGCTTGCTGGTACATAGCACTGCCTATTTTGCCAAAGCTCCTCCCTGGACCCCACAGAGCACCCCTCCCCCGAAGCATTGTTGTGAAGATGTGCGGAAGTGGGAGTGTCAGAAATGGTAGGAGGTTCTTAAAAGAGAGAGAGGCCAATTTCAAGGCATTTAGATTTATTTTTTATTGAAACAGCATTCACACAACTGAAGGTAGCATAATGTAGTTACTTGATTGTGGTACAGAATTGAAGTACGGTATGTGCCTGTAAAATACATAATACCCACCCTTTAATTTAGGTTGACTCCATACCCTCAGTTGTTGGTGTGCATTAATGACTTTATGAAAACTTCATTCAAAGTAGTTCACAAGACATTTTGCTAACAAACATCGAGTCATAAGCCAAGACTAAGAGTTTAAGTTTTGAATTATTCTCTGCTGATACACACACTTTTAAATCAAAAGGTTTAAAATTGTATGAGTTATTGCCATTTTGTGATTGCCAATGAAGCTTTGCTGTGGTGGCCATCTTGAATCAAATTCCCTCCAAAACTTTACCATTTGCAGATTTCAACCCAATGATTACTTTGAGAGTTTCTGTTTTGTGATTCATGAAATATTTTGTTGCAGACAAATGAACACAATCACTCTTCCTTTGCCAGCAGGTGCAAATTATTGGCAGCCTCAAAAATGAATTTTAATGAAACCAAAAACGGATTTGAAAAAAAAAAGAGTAGTATAAATCATACATTTTTAATCAATTTTACGAGATCAATATACCAGAAAAATCAAATTCCCCTAGTTACAAAGTAAAACAGCAAAGATTATTTTGAGTCATTTGCTCTCTGGAAGTTTATTCCCTTTGTAGATTTTGACCTTTTGCTTTCCTGTTACATCTTACGTGTGTACAAACTAATGTTTTTTTAAATAATTCTTTATAATTTAATAATAAAAAGACTTCAAATAAAGATAGAAGCACTGAAAATATAAGGATACTCGCTCAATCGAGTTACTCTTGAACTTTGACCTGAAAAAAATAGACAACAACAAAAAACTCTCACTGATCAGAAATGTAGTAAAAGAACTGACATAAAAAGGCCAAAACACCAAACTTTGAAGCATCTGTCTTCTTTGAGAGACACAAAAACACAAAGAATAAAACAATTAGGAAATTACTGAGACAGAGAAGTGCGGGAGGACTTGTTTGCAATGGGAAAATTGTGCACAAGGCAAATGTGGGATAATCCAGTTAAAGCAATAATGACCCTTATTTACTGTGAAACTTTAATTTGTGCACACCACACAATGTATCGATTGCCTTACAAGAAACCTTTTAGGGTACAGGACAAATTAAGGTAATGAAGAAAGACTTTCCTTTTTTCAAACCTGGATGATTCYGCCATCCTCCTATCTTCTTTCCAACATAAGATAAAGAACCAAACACTTAAGTGCTGGTGGAACCCAGTGCACCAAGAGCAGAAAGGTTGTAGGTWTTCACCAAATTGTATCCTGCTAGCACTTAGCTCCGTCTTCTTTAAGATCACAACGCCACTTACTTCTCTAAAAGCATGCTTTCACACACTGCCTCACTGCCACTCTGGCTAAATATAGAATACAGGCTGCTATAATTCATTGAACATATAGATGCAGGAAAACATGTCAGGAAGTTTAGTCATGCTATTTGTGGCGAGTACGTTGAATAAATCAGAAATTCCTGATGAAGACTATTGTTTTTCCTTCCACCTTTTTTTTTATTTGTGCTMAATTTTTCCTGAATCCTCGGACAAAAAAAAGTCCTGCATCGAGAAGCTTGTCTAGATTTGCTGCTTTTTATGCATTCTGAACCAGCCGCCCTCACTGTCTAGTCGAGAGCGACAAAGTCAGAACCAGAAAAGAACTTCTAAAGTCATGCTCTAGACAGGTGCAAGGTGGTTTTGTGGCAGCGGCAAGAGATAGAAGAAAAAAAAGTATTGCCATGGTGACAGCCGAACATGAGGCCAACTTAGACTGTTCACTGAGGGAAAACAAAAACCACTGAATCCCAGAGATGTTTGTCAACTTATGTTATAAAGGCCTTCTTTTTTYCTTGTAATAAAATATTTTTAAAGAAACTAAATAATGCAACAATTTTACTTTAAAGTGCCTGTGACATCAAATATTTGTCATAAATATAAATGCATTTTTGGAAAAATAACACTGATAACATATTGCAAAAATAATTTCATGCCACTCAGATGAGCATTTGTTGAGATATTTGCGCGTGAATTAACAGGAAGTGATGTCAAAGGGGAATGTCTGAATGTGAAAAGAGCATTGCTATAATAGCTGACAACACAGACTGTAGAGATTGAGAGAGAGAGAGAGCGAGAGAGAGCGAGAGAGAGAGAGAGAGAGAGAGAGAGAGCTGAAGAAGAGTAATAATTCAAATAATATTGTTTCAATAAGAAAAGACTAGGAATTTTCTTTCTTAAAGAGTTCCCCTTTGATGTCACTTCCTGTTTCACTTTGGTTGAGCTAAGTTCAGAAGAAAATATGCCAGTTATGTGAGAAAATGGGTAAAACATGTGTATTATGCCCAGTTTCTTAAATATAAAGATGTTTTCTTTGACTTCTTGTATATGAAGGATATTCATGTCATAGGCACTTTTACGGAGCCCGTGAGGGGACATGGGAGGTTTGTTTTCTTTTGCTTTCCCACGCAATAGTATTGCATTACCTCGCAATACCTTTTGCATTCTCTGTTGTGCCTGCCTATTTATTAGCAAATTCACATGCTCGCCTTTAGCAAGTTAGCCTACGATTTTAATTCAGCTTCAGAATGAATATTTCACACAGCCAAGCATGGAAGTATGTCATATGCCGATATTTTAACACAGTGCAGCCACGCAACATCAATGTCAAATTCACGAACTTGTGGCGACACATCCTGTTTTGGTAACTGGATATTTCAAAATAAAAGTCTGATTTAATTCAGTTCATATACAAAATAAACTTTTGCGTGGGAACGCAAAACAATTTTGCGAGGGAATGCAAGTGTTTGCGAGGTAACGCAAAAAGTTTTGCGAGGTAACGCAAAGATATTGCAAGGTAACGCAATAGTATTGCGGGCTCCGTACACTTTAACTAGTTAGCAATGTGTACATCAGAAACTGTTAGGKTCACTTGTATTTTATGGATCAGAATTTTGGGAAAAGGAGACTGTGACTTTTGGTCTATGGGTGGAAACAGGATTAACTAGAGAAAACCCACAATGGCACAGGGAGATCATGCAAACCCCACCCAGAAAGGCCAGGAAGCTAGCCTGCAGCTTCTCACTAAGATGGTGACAGCTGCACCACAGTGCTGCTTTCTTCTCATTACTCTAATCAAATTCCTTGAAAGATAAGCTCACTGGTAATAAACTGACTACGACATAACAGCAAGATAGAGAAGGAAGTAAGCGGAAAAAAAAAGAAAAAAGTGAAGGAAGGGAAAGCAATCGGGCTTAAGGCTTATTAGTTCCACCAGTTCACATCCTCCTCCTTATACCTGTGCTGTGATATCCTTTGCATCTTAAAAAGGGCTGTTTGCTTTGGGCTAAAAATGCAGATATTGCTTGATCATGCAGACAAAAGCACTCACACATGCAGAAAATTGGGTAATATAAGCGACAAATGTATGTGTTTATGACAGCAGGAGTTTTGTGCAGCATCTACACAGGAGGGGATAAGCAGGATTGCGGAAAGTCGGGGGGTTTGGGGTAAATGTCCTGCCTAAATATAAATAAATGAATAATAAAAAAAAAACTGGTGAATGATAGATATGAAAAGCAGAAGTAAGAGAGAGCGGCTGAAATGAAAAGGTTAGGAGAAGATCACTTGATAAAGTTTCAGTCCGAGTATGACCAGAATGATGATAACTCCATTATGTGACAGTGTGGGTCAAGGACACAAACCGGAACTGCCGTGCCAACGAATGAACCAGCAGAGAGGAGATTATGTGTGACATTAATAGCGGATTCCTGACTWCATTTATCTTTTTGTATGCATGACTTTTTCATCTCACAGATCCATTTGACATGTCCTTAATTCCCCCCCCACCCTTTTTTTTTGCTAGTGTAGTAAACGCACTGATTAATCATTAGAGCCGAGTGTGGCAGATCTACATCTATTCCCCATCCTACATGGAAATGGAGCACCATCAGAGCTCCTCTCTGAATTAAAGAAAATGTCAACGTGAAGAGTGAGCGGGTGCAAAGAGATATCTAAATACATATGTCAAGCAGGGCTAATTAACACAGCAAGCCACGCCAGTCTCCTCTGGAGAGATCTCACCCATCAGGAGGGAAGAGCGTCACAAAGAAAGTTCACTGTATGTGTGTATTTATTTCCAAGGAGTGGGTGTTTGTTTAGGGATATACAATCCTTAGCTGTGTTAGTATTCTGCTCTCAGTGCTGAACGACCCAGCACATAATTACAAACTCTAATATCCAGATGGCAAATAGAGGGAAAATTTCTGATATGTTTTACCCCAGGAACACAGCACCATTTTTCTTTTTGCTTTTCTGCTTTGAAAATAAAAATAATGAAACTTGTTTTARTTTTTCATATGCAGATGTGTGACAAAAACAAAATGTAAATATACGCAGCATTAAAATTAACATTTTTTTGTTTGGTTGATTGTTTCTTTGTTGCATCACTGTTCACTACTGAGCCCGYGAGGGGACATGGGGGGATTTTTTTCTTTTTGCRTTCCCTCACAAAAGTCGTTGAACACTGTTGTGCCTGCCGGTTTTTTAACAAACTCACATGTTCACCATTAGCGAGTTAGCCTACTGCTTTAATTCAGCTTCAGACTGAATATATCAGTGGTTCCCAAACCTTTTATCTTCTGACCCACAAAATATCCATGGCAAAAACTTGTGACCCCAAATATTACTGGTCTGAGTACACAAACTTTGTTAAGAACCATAAAATCACAGGCTTTTTGACAATCTAAACAGTTAGTACACAAATATAAATAATTATTTATGCTTATTATGTGTTTTTGTAATAGTTATAGGGAAGATATTACATCAACAATTATTTTATTTCCCTTTAAATTGATTTCTGG